TGTGTGTGTGTGTGTGTTTGAGTGTGTGTGTGTTTGTGTGTGTGTGTGTGTGTGTATGTACATCAGTACTCACTCAATGGTGCAAATCCGCACGATCGAGGTGAAGCGTGAGGTGAGTGTGTGCCGCCCCACAGCGCCGCCTGCTGACATGGACGCCACAATCTGAATGTTCTCCAGTCCGACCCACTCCAGGTTCTCATCATAGAAGCCCTGATATGTCAAGACCTGTGGAAGAAGACTGTGAGAAACTAAAATGGCACAAGAAACCTTGATTTGCACTAAAAACAGTGTGGCACGTGACCTGCTGCAGGAAGGCGATGAGGTTGCTGGTGCCCCACTTGTCGGGTTTGGGCAGGTTGATGTCTTTGAGGTACAGCACCAGCCTCTCGCAGTCTTTGGGCCGGTACACGCGTCCCGTGTTGGAGCTGATGACCAGACAGGTGTGCGAGAGTTTCTGCAGGACGTGACGGGAGGAGGTCTCAGCGCTGCAGTGCACCACAGCCACCTGGGTGGAGCGCAGCTGAGAGAACGAGCAGCGCAGGAGCATCCTGACACACAGAGCACAGTCTCAATCATTGCTATTTTAGGATCATTCAAATACGCAGTGCACCACAGCCACCTGTGTGGAGCGCAGCTGAGAGAACGAGCAGCGCAGGAGCATCCTGACACACAGAGCACAGTCTCAATCATTGCTATTTTAGGATCATTCAAATACTATTATCCTTTCAATTAATCATTTGATTTACTTTGAATTTTTATATTTTCACTTTAATTTTAGTTAAAGTTTTAGTAATTTTGTTTGTTTTTAAAGTTTTTATTAGTTTTTTTTTTTATGCGTCTATATAGTTTTTTTTTTCATTTTTAGTTATTTTAGTAAATCAAGTTAAACTAAATTAAAATGAGAAATGCTGCCTTGGCAACTAGCTGAAATAAGCTTAAGTTTTTAAAATATTTTTTATATTTTATTTCAGTTAACGTCTGTTTTATTTCAAGTAACGAAAATGTTTTTTATGGTTGTAGTTTTCGTCAAATATAATAACCCTCATCTGAATTAATCTGTTATTTTGTGTGTGTATACATTCGTTTTTTATTATACTATTATCGTTTTTATTCATATTTTGAATGTTTTTATTTTATAATTTCACTTTAATTTTAGTTAAAGTTTTAGTAGTGACTAAAGTAGTTTGAAGTTTTTTTTGCCATATTTAATAGTTTTTGTTTTTTAATATGTCTATATAGTTTTTTTTTCCAGTTTTAGTTTTAGTTATTTTAGTTCATCAAGTTAAACTAAATGAAAAAAATGGGAAAGATGAGAAAAAAAACTAACTTTTTTAAAAAATATTTTTTATTTCAATTTAGTGTTTATTTTATTTTTATAATTTCAGTTTTAGTTAACTATAATAATCCTGGTCTGAATGAATCTGTCATTTTATGTGTGTGTGTATTTCAATTTGATTTATATACCATTATGGTATATGGTATATGGCTTTTACTAAACTTTTGAAATAGTAATTCATTTTAATTTCAGTTAGTGATTTTTTAATTTAAAAATCAAACTAATTTTATTAGTTTGATTTTTTCCAAGTTTTACTGTACTTTTTTTACTTGCTGTACTTACTGTACTTTTTATCTTACTTTTTTACTTGTTTTTTTTATATTCAGTCAGTTATTTCCTGTAGCTCAAACAGTAGAGTTTGTTTTCCAGTAAAAGCAAAAACTAGTATGATGTAAATATGTACCTTAAATGCAATGTCATTTTAACTAACGTATTTTAGTTAGTTGCAAAATTTCAGATTTTCATTTACTTTAAGGTTTTCATATAAATTGTATTGTATTTCAGCTTCATTTCATTTACCAAAAATGTTTTTAAATACTTTTAGTTTAAGTTAACTATAATAACTACATACCCTTTCCCGCACCCCTCCGGCCCCACCAGCAGGAACGGCTGCCTGTGATTGGACGAGAGCCACGGGGTGAAGAGGTCGAGTCCGCGCTGTGTGTCAGGTGTGTGTATGACGGGGAGATTGTGCGGGTTACTGAGGTCGTCCTCACACACACCGTCCCCTCGCTGCAGCTCATACGCACACAGACGGCCGGATGCGGGGTCGTAGTACGTGTCCAGGGGCTTGCGGGGGTCAGGAGGACTTTCTCTGGCCCAACTCAGAACCTAAACACACATTTAGAATATCACAGCACACATGATGTGCTCGACTGCATGTTTGTTTGAAGGTTTACTTACACAGGACTGCAAACACGACTTCATGATGATCACATGCCAATCAAGGGCTCATTAACATATGACCGCCCACATTACATATTAACACTTACTTACTCCAGTGGGTCTCAAACTGGGGGCTTTAGCAAACTTCAAAGGGTGCCATAGGAAAAATATGTATTTATTTAATTTAATTAGTCATTCGTTCATTCATTAAAATTATGTAATGAAAAAAAAACATTAAAAACAAATATTTGATTAACTGAATTAAAATGCTACAAATGTAATATAAAATGTAAAAAATATTTTTCAAAATTTTAATTTTAATTTAAAATTTAACTTGTCACATTTTATTTATTTATTATTTTATTTATTTAAAATAATTAACTGAATTAAAATGATAAAAATGTTTTTAAAAACATAAGCAAATGCATAATTATGTTTATTTATTAAAATAATGTAACAATTAATTTTAAAAATTTTATGAAAAATGTTTAAAAAATTTAAATGTAAAAATATTAATTTATTTTCTCAAATATCTAACTGAATCAACATGCTACAAAAAATGAACAAAAAGTGCAATATAAAAATGTTTGTTAAAAGAATCTAACTGAATTAAAAAGCTAAAAAAAATTAAACATATTTTTATTAAAATAATCTGAATTAAAAATCTAAAAAGGTAAAAAAATATATATATATATATATAAACTGCAATGATATTTCATGTTTATATTTTATCCCCTCAGCAACTTTTTTTTAATACTTGTTTTTATTGAAGAAGAACATACAGTTCTTCAGACTTCCCAAAATGTGGTCGTGTGTGGTTGATTACTTTCATATACCTCCCAGTTTGTGTTAATAAAAGAGTAATCAGCATTGATTACAGCAGAATTACTGGAAGAACTATTTCTTTGAGTTAAACAGGCTGAGAACCACTGACCTACTCAATGTTCAACACCTTGACCCGCCCTGATACATGGCAATGTGAACTAAACTAAGTTTACAGCTCATTTACATGAAGAAGTATTACATGTACATTAGCAAAACCACCTGTTTATTTCTACTGGTCAGAGAGAGGAGGGAAAATGATCTCGAAAACTAAATGCTGGAAGAGACCTTGAGTGACATTAAGACTGGACATCATAAAATCTAGAGTGTGACACCTGACCATTTCAAAGTTTCACTGCTGCTTCTTTAAAACTTTAAATTACGACTGGTCATAAGCGTTAATCTAAGGGAGCGGCTACTAAATTTAATGATGGGCAGCCAGGCTGAGCAGGCATGAAATTACATTTCCCATGAATCAGGGCAGCTCTGACCTCCTTGGCGAACTCCTGGCGGCATTTGAGCGTGAGATTTCCTCCCAAACCGCGGATGAGTCCCACAACAAACTGTCCTCGCTCTCTGACCCCTCTCAGATGGGACAAACCGTTCAGCACTGTCCCAACCAGACTGGTGTCCACCACAAAATCACTCTGCGCAGAGAAACAGAGAGGTTTAGGATGCTGTGAGCATGTACGGTCAGTGTTACAGGACTGTGTGTCACAGGACCTGTTTGAGAGCCCAGTCCAGAGCTCTGTGGAAATAATCATTGAGCCAGTTCTCCAGATTCATCCTGTTGTCTTCATCCTCCCTCTTCAGCCACGACTTCACGAGAGAGCCCACGTCAGTGTCTTCATCACTGCAACACACACACAGGGCCTCAGGAAAATACTGAAGAAACGCAATTAAAATGCTAAAAATTAAGTTTAAAAAATGTCAATTAAAATAAAACAAATGTTTATTTAAATTACCTCACTGAATTAAAATGATAAAAATGTAATGAAAAATGTAAATGTAAGAAAAAGTTTATTAAAACAATTTAACTGGATTAAAATGCTACAAAAAAAGTAAATTGAAATATTTTTTTTATTATTATTATTATTCATTTTTTCAGACTGAATTTGCTAAAAAAAATGTAAATGTAAAAATCTATCTAAATTAAAATGCTAAAACGTAATGAAAAAACATGTAAATGTAAAAATAAGTTTATTTATTAATTAAAATAATCACATTGAATTAAAACTTTAAAATGTAATGAAAAATTTAAAAAACAAATGTTCATTTAAATGATCTAACTGAATTCAATTACTTAATGTAATGAAAACGTGTGTAAAATTTATTTATTTATTAAAAGATTTTAAATGAATTAAAATGCTAAAAAAAGGAATGAAAAAGAGAAAAAGAAAATTGTAAAAAAAAAAAGCAAAACAGAAATGTAAAAAAAATGTATTTAAATAATCTAACTGAATTAAAATGCTAAAAAATGTAATGAAAAAAGTGTAAATGTAAAAACAAATGTTTATTTATCTGATTAATTAAAATCATGTTAAAAGGCTAAAAATGTCATAAAAAGTTTTTAAAAAAAGTTTTTAAAAAGTAAAAACAAAATGTTAATTTAGAAAAATAATCCAACCAAATCAACTTTAGGTTGGATGAAGCTGTGTGATTGGTTGCTGTGTTCAGGAGCATTACCTGAGGAGGATCATGCCCATGCGGGAGATGGTGGCTGGTGAGGCGCAGCTCAGATCGTGGGTCTCAAACAGGAAGTTGACGTTGGGGCCGAACTGAATCCTCTCACCGCTGGGCATCGTGAGTAAACGATTATCATCCAGCACAGAGTTTAATGACTCGATCCACTCCGGATCAATGTCTCCATCGCATATAATCCATGAGCTCACCTCTGAAAGAGAGAGAATGACATCAGGCCAACAGAAATCTCAATTAAACTTACTTTCAGGTGTGTGTATTTGGTCGTCTATCTGTTGTCTGAGTTTGGTGTTTGCGGAGTGTGTTTGAATGTGTTCTCATGTGTATTTTTGAGTGTACTAATGTGTGTGTTTGAAGTTTTAATGTGCCTGCTTGTTGTTTGCCGAGCGTATTTGCTGTACTGTGGTATTTAAGCATGTTATTGAGTGTATTTGATGTTTGTAAAGTAGGACCATCTTCCAAAATTTGCAATGAGAAGTGCTTATAAACTTGCGGTTGTCAACAAAATAGACGCTTTAAGGACTTCCTGCCGTTTTCCACCCAAATAAACACTTGAGTTTTAACATTTAAAAATAAAGAGATTAAGACATGAAATATTAGTACTGTAAAATTATTTCTTTGAAAATACAAATAATATAATAAATATTGCTTATTTTAATATTGTTATTTAGTAATAACAACAACAACAATAATACCTTTAATTTATTATATTTTATTTACATTTATTTATTATTTATACAAAATATTATTATTATTATTAATTGTATTTATTAAAAATTTATTTTATTTAAAATGGTATTATTATTACTATTATTAAACTGTGTTAATGTGTGTATTTAGTGTTGTTATGTATATTGATGTGTATCTGGTGTTCATTAAGCATGGTAATGCATGCATCTAGCATTTGTTTAGCATATTAATATGTGTATTTGTTTTTTTTAATTTGTGTTAATGTGTGTATTTGTTGTTTATAAGGTGTAATGTGTGTATCTAGTGTCATTATGTATGCTAATGTGTATTTGCTGTTTGTTTTGTGTGTTAATGTGTATTTAACATTCATTGAGTGTGTATTTGGTGTGTATCTGTCCTCACCCTGTGGCTCTCGCACCACCTGTCGTGCGGAGGACGTTAGCACCCCGTCGGACCACTCTCGCGTGTCCATGTCGATGTGGCCCAGGAGCTGCTGACGTGGCATGGCTTTCGGGTTCATGGTGTACTGTTTGACCACACGGCCCATCCTGCCCAGCGCCGCCCGCAACATCCTCCACAGAGTGGACTTCCCCGCCCCGCTGGGCCCGACCACCACCACACCCATCCGCTGCCGCAGCTGCTCGTACAGCTCCAGAGCCTTCTTCATCTACACACACACACACACACACACAGATCAGTACTGCACTGCTGTAGCTCAGGGAATGAACAAGTTGATAAAGTGAGTATCTTGAATGCAAAGTGAATTTGGATAAAAGTATCTGACAAATGCATAGATGTAAATAAATGCAATATGACGATTGTTGGTTAAGGTGTAGTATGTAGGGTATATAGGCAGCAGAGTTATTACAGTTAACTAAAACCATAAAAAAATGTCATTACTTGAAATAAAATAAATGTTAACTGAAATAAAATGTAAAAAATAAAAATAAAAAAAATCAGCAAATTGCCAATGCAACATTTCTCATTTTCATTTAGTTTAACTGTATGTACTAAAATAACTAAATATAAAACTGAAATACAATTAATAAATAAAAGGATAAAAAAGTTAATTTATTAAATTAATTAAAATATTTATTTACAATTTATAAATAATTTATAACACTATGTAGATATGTAAATAAATAAATAAATGTTTAAAAATAAATGACAAAAGTATAAAACAAATTTTTTACTTCAATTACAAAAAAATGCCCTAAAAGAACTATAACAGTATCTCAATGACTACGTTTACATGAACCCTCGTAAAGCGATTATAATGTGATTTTAGCAGTATTGCAATTAAACTTTACCTTATGTAAATACAATGATCAAACTAATGCGAATAATGAAATAAAATAATCAGAAGACTGAAAATTGCATGTAAACGAGTGAAGAGGTTTGCTGCTTACTGCTATTAAGCCCTTGCTCTGCTTATTGGAAATAATCCCATTATTGGTGCACATATAAACGTAGACAATGATGGTAAAACAGCACTGACAGGCAGGTACCTGACTGGGTATGATCTCCAGCCGTGCCTCTTCATAAACAGCCAGCAGGGCGGATTTGAGCATCTCATACTCCACGTCCTTAAAGTCGACTCCAGGAAACACGTCTCTGACCAGGGCGTCAAACCGAGAGCTGTCGGCAAACGTCAACTTTGACATGGTGTTCAACCTCAAGGCCTGAACCACCAACCCGCTCTCCTTCACTACAGACAGACAGAGAATATGGAGCTGAATTGATCCTGGACAGGTCATTGATCAAGTTCGTGTGATATTGATTCAAATGAGATTGTCGTACAGGGGTTGTTGTTTTGTCTCTGTAACTGCAGCAAACTCCCACAGCCTCTCAGCACCGTCTTTAGAGCACGCAAACCCCAGTCGTAGTGCTGCTGCAGCGTCAACAGTTCTCTGCACACAAACACATTCACACAGAAACACACAAGATCAGTTCTAGGGTCAGTGGATATTTGGGGCCACACCAGTAAAAATATATATTTATAAATAAAATAGAGTTTGAGGTCGGTAAAAATCTTTTTGAAAAAAGTTACACTCACCATGGCTGCATTTATTTGATCAGTAAAAGAGTAAATATTGTTTTCTATTGTAATATATTGTAAAATGTAATTTATGGCGTCAACAGTTCTCTGCACACAAACACATTCACACAGAAACACACAAGATCAGTTCTAGGGTCAGTGGATATTTGGGGCCACACCAGTAAAAATATATATTTATAAATAAAATAGAGTTTGAGGTCGGTAAAATTTTTTAATCTTTTTGAAAAAAGTTACACTCACCATGGCTGCATTTATTTGATCAGTAAATATTGTTTTCTATTGTAATATATTGTAAAATGTAATTTATTTCTGTGATCAAAGCTGGATTTTTAGCATCATTACTCCAGTCTTCAGTGTCACATGATCTTCAGAAATCATTCTAATATTCTGATTTGCTGCTCGAGAAACATTTTGTGGAAACTGAGATAAATTTAATTTTTCAGGATTCTATGATGAATAGAAAGTTCAAAAGAACAGCATTTGTTTGAAATAGAAATCTTATTAACATTATAAATGCCTTTACTGTTTGATCAATTTAATGTCTCCATGCTGAATAAAAATATTAATTTCTTACAAACTTTTGACCCCAATCTTTTCGAACGGTACTGTATAAATAAGAAAATTGGTCTCTTCAGGCCTCGAACACACACTCAAGTCACTACCTGGCCAGATTGAATATAGCGACCAATTTTCGTCCGAGTGCCTTTCCTTCTTTAAACCCTTCTGAATACAGGATGACCTCAGCGATGAGCTCATTATCAGGACTCGTCATGGCAACCGGTCGGAAGAGCTGCTTCAGATTATCTGGCAGCTTCTGCCGTCCTCCGTATCCTTTACCCGCTGGGTTCAGAGTAATAAAGACGCCAGAATTTGGGTCCAACTCCACCTGAAAACACACACAACACAGAGTATTCCCTCTGTACCATCACATTTGAGTTTAAAAACCTTTTGCGTTGGTGGTGTATTTTTACGCCTGTGTGTGTGTGTTTCACCTCTTTACTGAGCAGCTGGCAGGTGGTCCGGTGGTTCTTCAGTGAGTTCTGGATGGCTTGTATCTGCATGGAGACGGCGGAGAGCACAGCCTCTTCCAGACGATTGAACTCATCAAAACAACCCCACGCTCCACACTTCACCAGCCCCACGAAGATCCGGCCCATGGACTTCACATCTATACCCTAAAACACTGAGATATTAGACACTTTCACACATGAAACCTCTTTAACTGATGTAAAAAATAGCTTACTAACTTCTCCAGTAATGGCACCTGTTATACACAGTAACATGGAGCTTAATGCAGTAATACAGAATCAACAGCTGGTTTACATGCATTTTGATTGAAAATGCACATTCGTTATCTGCCAGCAGGTGGCGCTTTCGGAACGGCAGAAATATAGCGGTTTCCCCTGTAACACTGAAATGTGCAGCTTTATTTAATGTGAATATGCATGTTTATTTAATGAATAATAGCCTTTTGAAGTTCAATGGTCACATTAAGCCTTATGGCAATTCTGGTCTTTCTGTCCCCAAAGTTAAAACCTCTTGAAATCATAATTAAGACTTTTTATGACCTTAAAATTGATACACAAAATGTAAGACTTTTTAAGGACCCGCGGAAACCCTGTCTAAATAGAAAAATACTGTTACATTTAAAGGCTTATTACAAAAAAGTCTGTTTGAGGTCAGTAAAAAATATATTTTTTTATTACTGATTTTATTCAACAAGTATGCATTAAATTGATCAAAATGGCAGTAAGGACATTTAGAAAGTTACAAAAGATTTCTATTTCAAATAAATGCTGTTCTTTTGAACTTTTTATTCATCTGTGAATCCTGAAAAATCAACTGCATCATGGTTTCTGCAAAAATATGAAGCAGCACAACGATTTTCAATATTGATAATAATCAGAAATGTTTCTCGAGCAGCAAATCAGCATATTAGAATGATTTCTGAAGATCATGTGACACTGAAGACTGGACTAATGATGCTGAAAATGTAGCTTTGGTCAAATAAATAAATTAAATTTTAACATTTTCAAATGGAAAAGAGATATTTTAAATTGCAATAATATTTGACTGTTTTTACAGTTTTTTGATCAAATAAATGCAGCCTTGGTGAGCCAAAAAAATACCTACCTACAGTACATACCTACAGATCAACAAAGACCCGGTTTATTGATTTCTATCTAGACCCACAGGTACTGTAGGGTTTTTATTTATTATGTGTGTGTACCTCATCACAGTTGAAGACCAGCACTTGTCTTCCAAACAGTCCTCCCAGGGCTTTAACGGACTCGGTCTTGCCGGTTCCTGCGGGGCCGTAGGGATTCCCGCCCAAACCCATTTTCATGGCCTGTGTCAGTGTCAGATAGCACTTATCCGTCAGGGGCGTGTGAACCAGTTTAGGAGCATTACCCTGAGAGAAAAATAGAGAGAGTAAGTCTCTGTGGAGCAGCGCGAGGATCCATTTCTATCATATGAGACTGACGGCATCCTTTGTGGATAAATATGAAACATGCAACAAAATCTGCATGTTCAACACTGTTCAAAAGTTTGGGGTCAGTAAGCGCTTTCAGCAAGGATGCAATAAATTGACTAAAATGAGAGAAAAAACATTTTTAACAGATTTCTATTTCAAATAAATGCTGTTCTTTTGAACTTTCTATTAATCTGTGAATCCTGAAAAATTAAATGTATCTCAGTTTCCACAAAAATATGAAGCAGCACAACTGTTTTCAACACTGATAATAATCAGAAATGTTTCTTGAGCAGCAAATCAGCATATTAGAATGATTTCTGAAGATCATGTGACACTGAGTAATGATGCTGAAAATTCAGCTTTGATCACAGGAATCAATTACATTTTATAATATATTTCACAAAGAAAACGCTTGTTTTGAATTGTAATAATATTTCACAATATTACTGTTTTTACAGGATTTTTTAATCAAATAAATGCAGACTCCAAATTGCCAAAAATACCAATTGAACTCTACTATACCAAAAGCCTTAGCTCACAAATAATGCTTTATGTAGATGTCACTTCATAACTTTCCACTACGTGAGCATCCAGTCACATTATATCATTAATATTCATGAGCCAGTTTTGTTAATTTGAGGCAGTGTCTGACTGCACAATACTTTGTGACTTGAACACTGAGCTGATCACCTGATACTCATATGTGTAGCTGAACTCTGCGTCCACCATCTGTATGGAGCAACGCTGGTCTGCGGTCAGGTAGAATCGCAGCTGTTTCTTCCAGATCCAGTCATCAGTGCTTTGAATCTGAGCTTCTCTCAGACTCTGGACCACTGAGATGTTGTGGATCACGTCCAGAATCAGAGCCTTCAGTTTCAACTGCAGAACTCTCGATTCTACAAGACAAAACCATCAGACACACATTAACGGCTAATACAAGCTGAAGTTTGATCGTGTTAGGGGTTCGTTACATCCTCAAAAACACGGACATACACACATTTGAAGCACAGATTAGATTGGGAGCAAGGGTGGAGGTTTATAAAGAACAGGTTGGAAGTGTTTGTAATGGACCATTTCGACCCTGCAGCAGCAGTTTTTCCAGAGTGACTTATAAGCATAATTAGCCATAATCACCGTTAACAGTGAGACTCATCAGAGGCTCCATTTATTTGAATTTATAATGGATCAAAGTGAATAAACCCCTGAGCTCATAAATGGACTAAAGTGCTTTATGGATATTCAGATCGCTTTATTCATTTGATTAATCTGACAATTAGCAAACACTGTAAATATGCAGCCAGAAATTAAAGGTTTTATTCAGAATTGCCTGCAGTCTGAAAAGAAAACACTGAAATTCACATTAAAGAAATTAAAAATACAGAGCAGTGCCACTTAAACACACACACATTTACTATTTTAAAATGAGGAAACACCATTTTATTTAATATAGTTATAATGAATACCAATCATAGTAATTATTTATTATGTTTGAGGACATCCTCAAAGGAATGTTCTGAACATGTCCATTACTAGTTAAACTACTACTGTAACCTGAATCCAAGTATTTAGGAGAAATAGCATTGTTAGAAGTAAATACAAAGTTGAACACTGTAAATATGCAGCCAGAAATTAAAGGTTTTATTCAGAATTGCCTGCAGTCTGAAAAGAAAACACTGAAATTCACATTAAAGAAATTAAAAATACAGAGCAGTGCCACTTAAACACACACACATTCACTATTTTAAAATGAGGAAACACCATTTTATTTAATATAGTTATAATGAATACTAATCATAGTAATTATTTATTATGTTTGAGGACATCCTCAAAGGAATGTTCTGAACATGTCCATTACTAGTTAAACTACTACTGTAACCTGAATCCAAGTATTTAGGAGAAATAGCATTGTTAGAAGTAAATACAAAGTTATCACTGTATTTATGAACCATTTCAGAAAGCACTTTCAGCAGATTTGAGTAAAGTGAGTTTAAAGACACACACACACACACACACACACACACATAGAGAGAGTCAGGTGTTGGCTAGAGCTGGGCAATATGGCCAAAAGTATTATCACAATATTATATTTAATCGATATCGATATCTATTGTGATGTTCATTTACTGTTAATGAGGAAGGAAATGTTTTCCACATGTTTGTTAGACCTCGAGAATTTAAACATAACTTTGTTCATAATTAAACTCCAAAGAGTAAGATACCTTTTAATTTAGGGCCCTATGAAATCTATTTTATTTTCCCCTAAATTCTTTTTTCCATTTATTTTTTCTGGATTCTGTGTTTTATGATTCAATACAAATTTATAGTAAAAAATGATGTCTAATGAAATGAATAAATAAAACTTTAACTGTCTGATCATTCCTTTAAAATGTAAATAACAAAATGAATTTACAACAAAACATTGCATTTTTATTGTGAAGTAAGAATATGCATAACAGAACTGTATAAATTAATGAAAAAATACCTTGGTTGCATGATATTCCTTAGGCTAGAGCTGGGCAATATGGCCAAAAGTATTATCACAATATTATATTTAATCGATATCGATTATCGAGAATATGCATAACAGAACTGTATAAATTAATGAAAAAATACCTTGGTTGCATGATATTCCTTAAAAATAGTATTATTATTATTATTATTACTTTGAGAATTATATTTCAGTATACAATACTAATATATTTCTGTCATAATTTCTTCAAGTTAAACCAGACTTTTATTTTGACAGGTTTTTGACGGTAGTTTTTTTCTCGAATGAAACCGTGTAATGCTGGTGAAGTGACACTCAGAGCAGCTCTGGAGACTGAAGTTCATGTGTTCATGTCCTCATAGATTGAGATGCAGACACTGAAAACAGTGAGCGTCACGTGTGTTTGAGTTTGTGTATCAGATGAAACCGCACCATTCATTCACACAGAGACACGCAGAACAGCGGCATGCACTGACTGGCTGCTGCTGCGTTTATTTCTGCTGTGTGACAGACTGTCCATATCGAGTAAAAACGTCCAGAGCTTATCATCGGTATCAACACAAATTCTATCGCAGTCTCGATATGATCTCGTTTATTGCCCTGGCCTAGTGTCGGTGTACCTGCAGTGTCATCCATGTTGGTGTCTACGCTGGTGTAGCTCTCCAGTTTGGCGGTGAGCTCCAGCTCCAGCTGATGGAGGTTCTGCTGTCGGATGGCGTTCTCCACATCCGCTGTGAACTGGATCTGCTCTGCCAGGCACAAAATCTGGAAACAGAGTCACTCCACAGTCATTTTAGCTGAACCGCAGAGACTTATGGGTGTTTCTGAAGAGAAACACCTGTGTGTGTGTGTGTGTGTGTGTGTGTGTGTGTGTGTGACCTGAGAAGGAAAGCGCGTGGGATCCACGTTTCCTCTCTTTCCAGCATTCACACAGTCACACAAGAGATGTTTCAAGGTGTTTTTCATCTCCGTGGAGAGAGCGCTCAGCCAAACCTGACACCAACCCACAAAATTAAAGAGATATTAAATATAAAACAATAAAATATATTTATATACAGTATAATTTATATATTAAACTTTTTTATAGATTAAAAACAATTTATAGATATTTTATTCTTTCATATTTAATATTAATTTAATTGTGTGGGTTGTGTCAGGTTTTACATATATTTATACATTTAATATATATATTAAAATATATTTATAGATATTGCAAATAGATACCTGACACCAACCCATAAAACTAAATATTAAATATAAAATATGTATAAATAAAATGTTTAAAATATATAAATATATATCAAAACTGACACCAACCCACAAAATGAAATATTAAATATAAAATAATTAAATATAAAACATTTATAAATAAAATGTTTAATATATAGAATATATAAATATATATCAAAACTGACACCAACCCACAAAATGAAATATTAAATATAAAATAATTAAATATAAAACATTTATAAATAAAATGTTTAATATATAGAATATATAAATATATATCAAAACTGACACCAACCCACAAAATGAAATATTAAATATAAAAGAATAAAATATTAAATATCTATAAATAAAAGGTTTTATACATAAAATATTTATAAATATATCTCAAACCTGACACCACCTCAAAAAATTAAAGGAATATTAAATCTAAATGAATAAAATATAAAACACACACACATATATAATGTAATTTAATTAGCAGCATGTCACACCATAAACCCAAATCATGAGACAACTAAAACACAGTCAGCATGACAGAGATCTGACCTCTACGTCGTTGGAGATGCTGACAGTGTTCTGGAGCGGCACGGTCTCGCCCTCCAGTGATTTCATGGCTGTGATGCTCTGAAAACTCGGATCAAACTCCACACTGCTGATGCCTTAAACACACAGTCATCCCACGTCTCTATATGCAGCTGCTTGTGTGACAACTGTGAGCAGGTGTGTGTGTGTGTGTGTGTGTGTGTATGTTACCTGCAACATTTAAAAATATATACCAGTCACTAATTTATGAAGCACCCTCCGTACTTAATTCTGGAACCGGGTCTGGATAAAACTGTGTTTGAGCAGTTTCATTATCAGTAGCTCATATTTAGGCGATCACATTGATTTATGTGGCAGTCGGAAAAATGAGCAGGAAATTTGTTAATTTCCTCTGTGAAAATCTCTATACAGTTAGAGTAAACATTAATGCACATGGGTTTCATCGAATACTCCTTGCATCTGTTGATTTCATCTGTGGATTATTTGGTTTTATTTAGTGTGAATCTCCAATAAGTTCTGATAAGTAATAAATAACATGATATGTGGCCGGCCTATGTTAACTTTATTTTAATCAAAACATAAAACATTTACACCGTTTGCATCTGCGAGGCATAAGTTACAATTATATTTGTCCTTGACTCCAGAAAAATGTTGGCAGATCTTTTATTAATAATAATAATAATAATAATAATAATAGACATATATTTGTGCCACTTTCAGAAGGCAGCACAGCTTTACATTATTTACACGAGGGGGAAAAAAACATGTATTTTCACATCAAGTCAATGAAGAACGGGTGTTCTTAATAAAATTACAATTTATATTATAAAATAGAACATTTTTACTTTTTTTTTTTTTTTTTTTTGTTTTTTTTTATATTCTTCAGGTGTGTGTGTATGACAGTAGGGTTTGTGGCCTGTCCGAGAATCTCCAGTAGATCATCGTCTCCAATGAAGTAAAACCGAGGAAATGCAGAACGCTTCTCCTGCAGGGGTCAAAAGTCTCATTAAAATATTAAAATAAAACATATAAATATATAATAAATAACATATTTTTATATTTATATTAATTTTATATTTTTTATATTTATTATTTCTACCATCATCAACATAACACCAACATAAACATGGGAAAAGCAAAAAAGCAAAAAATTGCATAAAATTAAAATAAACCAGCAAAGTATTTTTATTTGTATATAAGTATTTTTTACTATAGTGCCTTTTTTTGTTTTTGTTATTTTTGCACAGCTTTTTTCATGTTTTTGCTATGATGGTGATATGTTAGTTAATACAATTTATCATATATTTTAATATATATATGACTATATATATATATATCTGTAACTGGTCCAGGATGGTGACGAGGGAGTTCCTGATTCCAGCTCGAGTGCTGAGAGACGTGACCCTGCTGTCCCTCTGAACGTCTGACATGATGGCCCTAAACGCACAGACACCGGTGAGTGATTCTACACTCATCTGTCTCACACCTGTCCCAGCATCCCCTCCCTGCCTCCCCGCTCACCTGAAATCCTGGTCCACTCTCTGAAAGCGGGCCTGTTCCCGCGGCAACGCCCCACGCCCAAATATGGGCTCGAGGTAGACCCACTTCCTCTGGATGGTGTTGAGGTTCTGGAGGTACTCGTCAAGGTCGGCCAGCCGGGTTTCCCACAGTGACACTTTGTCCTGGAAGCGCAGGTAATAGGGCGAGTCTTTGAGCGACTGCAGCAGGCAGCGGTTGTCTCCCACCTGGTTGACCATGTCCCTCCAGTCCTTGATGACGCGCAGAGAGCAGCCCTGACTGTCTGTGTAGTCCGTCAGGGTGAAGCACGCACCGGCGCCCCACAGCTCCAGCTCCCGCAGGGCCTCACGGATGGTGACCTCGGCCTGAGCGCGACTGTTCAGATCCTGCTCACAGACAGAGAAACCATTACCGTGAGTGTTTATGACCTAGATAAAGTTTTAGGGGACAATCTGCTGAAAAATGCCTGCAGAGCTCAGATAATGTTCATAAACAAACTAAATAATTAATTGTTTTCCATGTTAATCTTTTGTCCTAAATAGACATGGCTGCACTGCAAAAATGTTCTTATTTAGTATTTTCTTACTTATTTTTATATATAATAATAAGAAATTATTTTCTTAGCACTGCCAGAAATCCCTCAATGAATTCGTAGAGTTATATAGCATAGATAGATAGAACGATAGATAGATAGTAGGGCTGCACGATATATAGAAATTATTGAAATATCGCAAATGTAAATATCGCAATATGCATATCGCAAGGGCGTGCGATATCTGAATCATTTTAATAATAGGCTACTTAAATCAAAACATTGCAAAAGGTCAAAGTTTTAGTTCGACACATATAGCAGAGAATTGCTTGACGTTAAAAAGAGTTAAGTGCAATAAGTTGCAGAAAATAACTCTTTGCCGTCTCGTCTTGCTGTCTGACTCACACCTGAAGTGCGCGTACAATCCGCATCTCGCACAGCGTATCTTCCGTTCTGCCGCACACGTGCAAAGCGCGCGCACACACACACAGAGTTTCAGACGGAGTTGATTCGTCTTTCGCATCTCCTCATGTTTGAACAGACACATACACACAGAATTATGTCAATAGTACCCATCTCGACGATCATGATTTTTTAATCGCAAAGCATGACCTGACGTGTGCGTAGATATGTGTGTGTGTGTGTGTACCTTGAGCTCCAAGGCTTTGTCTATGATGTTGTCGGCCACTCGAAGCAGGTCTCTGAACTGCAGTCTCTCTAGTGTGGTTCCTCTGGGCAGAGAGACGAGCCGGAACAGATCCAGATTTTTTAATCGCAAAGCATGACCTGACGTGTGCGTAGATATGTGTGTGTGTGTGTGTGAGTGTGTGTGTGTGTGTGTACCTTGAGCTCCAAGGCTTTGTCTATGATTGAAATTGCCACTCTTTCCAGGTCTCTGAACTGCAGTCTCTCTAGTGTGGTTCCTCTGGGCAGAGAGACGAGCCGGAACAGATCCAGCCAGTGTTCCTGAGAGAGCTGCTCACCTCGCACGTACTTCAACACTGGAACCACGGCCTAAAACACACAGCTGCATCCTTAGCACACCTGTTTAGCCCAGCAACAAATATATACAATTAAAGTAGCAATAATTGAACAACAATCATATAGGGATGTAACGATTCACTCAACTCACGATTCGATTTTCTCACAATTGTTTTTAACCAAATGAGATTTAAGACATTATACAGTAAATGAAAAGGTGTCATTTTATTAGCCTATTGCTGCACGTTTCTTTGTGAAATTGAAATAACAAAACTAAATTGAAATTTTAAAACAAACAAGTAAGCTACACAGATAAAATAAATCTCTTAATATAAACAAACTAAGGCTTTGTCTGTGCTCTTTCCATTTAAAATTAGAGCCAACCACTGCATTTTAATCATGATCCAAACAAAGATGCAGCATACATGCAGCATGAGCAGTTTTTAATCTAAATTAGACTGTATAATTTCAAAATTTGAAGCAAAAACAGAATGGTCTGACTTTAGTTTTGTGACACTATACTACATAAAACACATCTGCAGGGAACACCAGACGAGCTGAATGAGACGCAGATTCACTCTCTGACAGCAGGTGGCGCTTATGAACAGCAATGATACAGTGTTTCCTAGGTTTCCACTGTAAACAAAGCAGAGCTGCGCTTATGAACGCTACTTTAATACGCATTGTTCAGAGGCAAGATGAAAAGAAAATACCACGTAAACTTTTCTAAAGACAGTCAGTTCCCCTCAGAGATACATTCATATAAACTCCTACTCCAACTGTATCGCGATTTGTTTAGCATCTCAACCGATTTGAATCGTCACATAATTGAATCAATTTTCGACCGGCTCGCGGTTAATCGCTACATCCCTACAATCATAGCAAGTTGATTCATTGTAAGTACTTAACTACAGACATTGTTACTTTTGAAAAATGTATTAGCTGCAATGCTAGTAACAAAAACTAGCTAAATATATTACAGCTTTTTTATCATAAATTTTAATTCATTATATGAATTCATTGAAAAACAAAATTTTCATATTTTAAAATTATATAAATAAATAAATTAATAAATAAATGTAAAACATATTCATAAAGTGTAATTATTAAAATATAGTGGCTTATTTTTGTATTTGTTATTTTTGCTAGTTCAAATTTATGCTCTTTTTTTTGCTTTTTCATCTTTCAGTAATATTGATAGATATATCTGTTCCACTATCCATAGGAAGCACTGCTTTGTTTAGTTTTTTACATGTGAAAGAAAAACATTCATTTGTATGACAATACATAGCAAGACATGTCCCAAACAAGTCAATATAATTATTATTATTTATATATTTTTTTAGCATTATTAATTGTACTTAAATGTACTTATTTATCATTATTGCAACAAACAGATATTTTCTTTTCAGAATTTATCTTTACATAATTTATCAGATTATATAATTTGTCTTTACAAAGTCTGAGGAGTATTCATCTGGCAAAAACACAATGAGGGTGATTTTTCAACTAAATATTGTCAACTGAATACCACATTACATTCAACATAACAAAAAAAGTCCTAAATTCAATAGCTGAATTGTAAACATACTTATAAACTGCAGTTTAGACTAAAGGTTTATTTTACCACACAGGGACCGATTACTTAAGAGAGAAATTAAATAGCTATTAAATGTAGTTATTGGAAAAAATATAATCTTCTGCCGCACTAGTTAAGTTAGTAACAGCACTAATTTCAACTATAACAAACACTCCGAATGACCTGAACATGACCCATCCCACACGTTCAACAGAATTTCCACGGAATTCTAGTAAATAACCGGAATAATCCAGCCGTCAGACCTTGTATCGGTCCACTTCCTTCTGCAGTTTGACAGACATGCTGCTGTGCTCCTCCAGCTTCCTCAGACGGTCGTGCCACGCGAACAGAAACTCCTCGAACATGTGAGTCTTACTCCTGCAGGGAAACACAGTGTGTGTCTCAGTCCTGGATGAATGCTGAATGTGTTTCAGACACAAAGACTCTGAATTTTGACATTTGTAAAAAAAAAAAAACATTTGTAGAAATTCCTCCTGACGCATCTGATGTTTCTGACCGCATGTGATTGTGATTGTATTTATTCCCAAATTCAGCTTTGTTTTTTCCCACATTTTGTTTAGCGTTTTTATTTTTCTGGATTCCGTTTTTTCTGTTTACATTTTCTGAGTTCTGTTTTAACAGTTCGGTTCAATTTTAGTAATCAAGCATGTCTAAATTAAAGGTGTCAAGTGTGTCAGTTGTTCCTGTGGCTCAGTGGTAGAGCATTGCGTTAGCAGCGCAAAAGCCGTGGGTTCAATTCCCAAGGAACACACACATACTGGTAAAAAGTGTATAGCCTGAATGCACTGAAAGTTGCTTTGGATAAAAGCGTCTGCTAAATGCATTAATTTAAATTAACTGAAAACTCGTAAAACTCATACAATTTAACAACAATTTATTTAAAAGTTTAACAAATTACACTTTTAGGTTCCTATGATATTAGTTCTAGTTTTTTTCCAAATTCAGTTTTGTTTTTCCGAAATTCTGTTATCCATTTTAATTTTTCCATTTTAATTTTAATAATCAAAAAGCATACCTAATCAATTGAATTCATGCAACTTTAACAATTTAATAATTTACTGCACTTTTTACAATAATAGGACCCTATGAATAATTTTTTTTTCCCCCCAGAAATTCTGTGTTGTCCTTTTTTAATTTTTCTGGATTTATGATTTAATACAAATGTATTATCAAAAACAATGGTAATCAAATAAAGACATAAACTTTAAGACATAAACATAAATCTTTTGCAATGTACGTAATCAAATGAGAATGTAACAATTCCTTTACAGGTTTACAATTAAAATTAAAACATGGAAGAAAATTTGTATGATACTCCTTATAATCATCATAATTGTATTTTTTTTATTATAAATATTTTGTTTTTATTATTTAATTTAGTTTTAATAATTATTAATTTAATAACACTTTTATTATTATTACTTTGAGAGGTACATTCTACTGTACAATAGTAAAACACTGTCTTTCTGTCAAAATTTCTTCACATTTAAATTATTTTGACGGGTCACAGTGAAGACCTTTGGGTTTCTGTGTATCTGACAATAGTTTCATCAAATGAAACGTTATCAATGTGATTGCTGTGACTGTGACCTGAAGGAAATCCAGTCCTGCTCTGCGTGTTCGTCCAGTCCCTGCTGAAACTCCTCATAAAGCTCCCACATCTCTGAACACTCCTGCAGATCCCGCAGCGTGTCGGTCGCCAGAGACACGTCAGGAGCGCTCAGGTTAAAGTGTTCGCAGTCCTCCCTACGACACACAAACACACACACATTTACTATGGTAATACCACAGGCGTTTCTCTGCATGCGAGTACAGGAGTGAAGTCACGCACATGAGTTTTTTACGCGTGTTCTCCAGCTCGCCGAACTCGGCTCGTCTGTCGCGGATGTTCTGAACGCAGCGCTGCAGAGTCTCGTGGTCACCTGACTCGATGATGTCATGGCCGGGTTTGAGCTGGTCCCAGCGAGCTCTGAACTTCTGCAGGTCCTGCAGGTAAACCTGCACCTGAGACTCAACGTTCCCCTTCATCACCTCCACCTGAGAGACACTCATTTTAGCAGGTCATTTTCAATTAATCTCACTGAATCTATTGCATTTAGACTTACGTGAAATGCACAGATGTAGTCTAATTACTGACTGCTTGTTCATGACTTATTTTAGTATCATTGATATACTATCATGTTTTTTCGTATTTTGAAATTCATATTTTATAGTTTTGTTGTTTATGTTTGTCATTTTTATATTGTTATTGTCTGTTTTTTAAGTGTCTATTTAGTTTAGTAATTTACAGCCTACAACTAAATAAAATGTTGCTTAGATTTTAAACTAATTATAAATATGTAACGTAGTTTGTAGATCGGGAAGAAGGAGGCGGGAACCGGCGAACACTCAAAGAACTCTTTAATAAAATAAACAAACACAAAACAGCGCGACAGCCCCTCGCGGACGACCTTCGCGCACAAACAAAACCAAAACACAAAATAAAGTCCAGGCCTGGTCCTCTCTCGTCTTTCCCTGTCGTCACTCCTCCTTTGTATCCTTCCGGAGCTCCTCCGTGAGACTCGAGACCGGTGAGTGGCGCAGGTGTCACGCATTCGCAATTACTCCACCGGCCTCGCTCTGTTCCCACGGCTCTCGGCCCCGCCCCTCTCGTTACAAAATATTTTTAATTTATATTTCCCATTTTAATTTTAACTTTAAGTTTTAGTAATTATGCTGTGTGTTTGTTTTTTTGTATGTCTTTTTTAATTCATTTTTATTTTAGTAATTTAAGTAGTTCAACTACATGAAAAATTTGAAACTGAACATTTTCCTTGAAATGAATAACTGAAAATCATTTATTTCAATTACCGTACTTTTCAAAAATATTTTTTGTTTTAGTTAATAATAACACTGGTTCATGACATTTTGTGGGTAAAGACACACATATGAAACAGTATTTTATTGCATTACATGAAAAAAATATATTGCAAAATTCTACTGGTTATTGTGGAAAATTTATTTTTATATTTTCCATTTTTATTTTCATTTTAAGGTTTTAGTAGTTTTGTTGTGTTTTGTAATTTTCTTAGTTTTTTTTATGTCTTTTTAATTTGTATTAACTTGCATTTCAGTTTTAATTTTAGTAATTTGAGTACTTTAAATCAAAATTTTACATTTTGAAACATATTTTATCGTATTAAACTATTGTATTAAATTAAAAAGGCACAAATATGTTGCAAAATTCAGCTGGTTATTGTGGAAAATCAGAATAATGTACGAAACAGTGGTGTGTATGTATTAGGGTGTGTTTGTACCTGTTCTTTAATCATGAGCTGATGACTCTCCATCATCAGCTCAAATTTGTCCCATCTGGCTCTCAGGGAGCTGATGGTGTCCAGTCCTCCGCCCGCCACAGAGCGCAGCAGCCTATTCTTCTCCTCCGCCTGCTGGAACTGAGGCAGTATCTGCACACCACATCAGAACAACATTCACAAATCAACTCTAGCAGAATCAAATTCTCTTTACACGCTGCCGTGCCACATTTACATTCACAGATGTGAACCAAAAGTTTAGTTTGAGACACTTAATAGCAAATAAGCAAGAAATTAGTTGAAATTCTGAATTTCAAATGTACCTGCCCGTAAAAGTCACATAGAAAGCAAACTGTGGTTGGCCGTTTTACATCGCTCAGATGATGTAAGTGGGCAGTTTTTAGCTAGCTGCAGCATGGCTCATATTCAAGTCTGGCTACATGATACATGTTTACGTGAAGGAGAAGTTTTCCCATTCAACAGTGAGCTGAATGAGGGTGTTGATGGGGATGTACCTCGGGTTTCTGGGTCTGTAATTGGCCGTGTTTGGCATTGGCGTCTCCGATCTCATCGATGCTCTCAGGACGCAAGGACAACGTCTCCATCGCACTGCTTATGAAAGAGTCGATCACCTGAATATGACCTGCACACACACACAGGACGGCAGTATTTAATATGTAAACACACACTGCAAATATGACCAGCAGAGGTCGATGTTACCCCATCTGATTTACTGAACACCGCTGCAAAGATCTGTCTGTCATAGTATGTGCCTGGTAGGATCTGTGGTATTACAGTACTATTTATATACTATCATAGCATTTATTCATATTTGGAATTATTTTTATTATGAACTTTTACCATTTTGAGTAGTTTTTTAATATATATTTCTATTTAGCTTTATTTTTTATTTGTTTTGGTGATTTTGTAATGTGCTTTTTGCCATTTTTTAAATATTTCTATTTATCTTTATTTTTATTTGTTTTAGTATTTTTTCTTGTTATGTGCTTTTGTCTTTTTTTATATATTTCCATTTAGCTTTATGTTTTATTTGTTTTCGTTTTTGTAATTTCTCTAATGTGTGTTGTCATTTTTATGAGATTTTTTCTTAATATTTCTAATTAGCTTTATTTTTAGTTGTTTTAGTTTTTTTCTTGTTACGTGCTTTTGTCTTTTTTATATATATTTCCATTTAGCTTAATTTTTTATTTGTTTTTGTAATTTTTCTGTGTTCTTTCGTTTTTTTATTAGGTTTTGTTTTCTTAATATTTCTATTTAGCTTTATTTAAAAAAATTTGTAATTTTGTTAAAACTACAAATTAAACTGATGAACCCTTTTCACATTTTCCTGTAATTTAATCCCAAGGTAATAAAACATAAAAATAATAAAAGTATAGTTTTATAAAAGTACATTACATTTTTTTAAATGTAAAATTCTTACACTACTGGGGAAATATGTCATCACTATCTGTGAAAAGGCTCCATTTTATTTCAGTTTTTCAACTAATATTTATATCTAACATTATTTCAATCACTACAATAGTTTTAGTTTTAGTTAACAATAACCACAGTAGTTTGGATGCACGTGTTGTCTTTAAACACCATGAGCGCTGTATAGTGTGTGTTGAACATCTGATCGCACCCTGGATGGATCTCCTGAGGGACGTCAGCAGAGCATCAAACAGCCTCTGGATGAGATCGTCCACGGCCACTCTGACAGGTTCACAGTTCACCGTGATGCAGTCGACCTTCTCTGTGCTGCACACACACACTGTTAAATACAACACATGCTCTCATACACACAGTATATATGATCACACACACACACGGGCAGATACCTGGGCAGCCGCTCGGCCTCTTTTCCTTTGGCTTTGAGAGCTCTGAAGTTCCTCTCCCAGTCCTGGACGCTGTGAAGGTGTTTCTCCACCAGAACATCCACATCCACCTGCCCCAGAACCACCCAGTCCTGAACACAGACACACAGGACATCAAATCAACCACGCAAACATCTCAGGAGGCTTGATGTTACAGATCACATGCAAAAATGTATTGTGGATTTTCATACGAGCTACGTTCAAAATGAAATCCATTAACCATAGGTCTAAACAGGTTGATTGCAGACGTCAAGGAGAAATATGTCAGAGAAATGCCTAATGTAAATAGTAACGTGACTAACCATATAATCATTCAGCTAAATAAGCAGGCTGTTCAACTTTAAAACAAAAAAGGGGGAGAAGAAAAAGCTTCCCATACCTTTGGTTCTTAATGCCAAAGGACATGCAATACAAACAAACTCTAGTGCAAATTCATCTGTTGCGTGGTAGAAGCTAGTCAAATTAACAAAATTTCCCAAAGTAAAAGAAAACACAACCCAGACAATGGTTAATATGGACTCAAAACAAAAATTTTATTATTTATATACGATTATAATATTATTAACATATTTTAATTAGCTATAATTTTTTTTATTTTCAGTTTTCAATTTAATTTTACTTTAAGTTTCAGTAATTTTGTTATGTGCTTTTGTCATTTTTATTAGATTTTTTTTTTGACTAATGAGTTTTCTTTTTGTATTTTAGTTTTAGTAAATGTAGCATTTCAAATGAAACTTGTTTTATTTCAGTTAGCTGCCATGGCAACACTTTTTTAAGCTTTTCATCTAATGTTTTATTTTATTTTATTATTTTATATTACTTTATTTTATTTCAATTAATGAAAACAACTGTTTAGTAGTTTTAGTTACAATACTAAACAATAACACTTCTCCAAAGAACATAAAACCATCAAAGACACATTTAAAAACGTATATTGCACAATTTTCCTATTCAGCTGATGTCAGTTTTGCATAATGTTTGACCAGCGCATTTCAGAAATCACGGTGACGTTCAAACATTTCAAAGATTGATTTATAAGGTCATTTTAGGGTCATGCTTTAATGCAATAAATCATTTTGGTACTGAAGTAAAACCAGTCAAGTGCTCACTCCCTTAAAGGAGTTTATTTTCTAAAGGGTCAAAAGTTGAAGAAACCAATTCATACAGCTACTAAACTCATATGAACAGAGTATATGCTAATAATGTGATATTTTGGCACACGCTGGAAATCTAGAAAATTTAGGCTGCAACTTCTGTTATTAGCCACATAAAAAAAACTCCAATCCAGCAAAACTGAAATAAACCACTTTGACGTTTCTACAAAAGATTTTATTAGGTCTCTTTCTCATGAAGTGGTGAAATGAGCAAAACGCTGAGCTGTCATTTCAGATTTGAAAAGAGCACACTCATTAGAAACTCTAGGGTGTATTTTGCATACAGTAGGCTTGTAGAGTGTGAGAGTTAATGAAAGTATGATGACGGATCATTGTCAGTGTACAGAGAGTTGTACACGGCTAATTAAAGCAGCACCTGCCCAATGATCGGACATCTGCTGTGAACAGACACTCAGATCTGAGACAGAACGGCTTGTATGAGGTTTCCCATCCGTGCTGCTAAAGAGGAAGCGTTCAGCTCATTTCCTCTCTGTGTGGGCGCAGAAATCAGAAGTGAGTTTGTGTGCAAGTGTGCCGGGATTCCCCGTGACCGCATTAAAGCGGCACAAGAACAACCTCTGGCATATGGTTTTCTAAACCACAATTTAAATAATGAAAATGCATTAGTGCTGAAATACAACAATAAATAGAGGCTTACATTGGATTCATCTTTACAAAAAAACTAGTGAACCTATCCAGACAGCATTTTTGGGCATCACATGTGCGTTCAATATGTCCAGGGATGCAGTCCGCTCAGTTTTAAGCCAGAGGTATAGTCTGTAATATAATGTAGACGTGTGTGGGTGGGTGTTAACGGTGTTTTCTAGAACATCACTGTATAATGACCTCAGTTCATGACCTTTACGTGCTGAAATTCCCTTTGTGTTCTAATATTCTATTAAATTGGAATCCACCATGATTTAATTGTCCAGAACTGTACTCATAATCAACATTTCCGTCAACTAATTTTCAATGCATGTTGCAATGTATTCTGGGCTTGCTTCATACTTGAAGGATAAGCAATACCTTTCAAAAAAATGTATTACTTTAATTTTACATATATATATATATATATATATATATAAAATATTTACATTTTGAATTATACTATATATGCTTCAAGTACGAAGCAAGCCCAGAATACGTTTATAATAATACATTTTTATATACACATATATATATATATATATATATATATATATATATATATATATAGAGAGAGAGAGAGAGAGGAGAGAGAGAGAGGAAGAGAGAGAGAGAGAGAGACAGACAGACAGACAGACAGACAGACAAATAGATATAAATATTTTTAAAGAAGTCTCTTCTACTCAGGTTGCAGGATCAAAAATGCAGTAATAGCAGTAATATTGTGAAATATTGTAAAATATAAAAATTTAATTTAAAATAACTGTTTTCTATTTGAACATATTTTAAACTGTAATTTATTCCTGTGACGTAAAGCTGAATTTTCAGCATAATTTCTCCAGTCTTCAGTGTCACATGATCCTTCAGAAATCATTCTAATGTGCTGATTTGCTGCTCTAGATTTTACGTTCATATTTCATATTTTTGTGGAAACTGTGATACATTTTATTTTTCAGGATTCTTTGATGAATAGAAAGTTCAAAAGAACAGCATTTATTTGAAATAGAAATATTTTGTAACATTTTGACTTTTGAGCAATTGAATGCGTCTTTGCTGAATCAAAGTAATAATTTCTTTCAAAAACAATAAACTTTTGAACGGTAAGTGTATATGATGTTGATTTTAGTCAAAAGCAGGCATCTTAAAAAGCAGATAAATTCTGCTGCCTATAAATGGAAAAACCTTCTCAAACCTGATCTTTGACATTACCTAGTTAGGCAGCTCACTAGGGTCTGGAACGCAGTCTGCGGTACCTTAAACTTGTCCAGCATGTGTGTGAGTCGACTGAAGAGGTGTTCGGCTTTGCTGAAGATGGTCAGGAAGCCGCTTGCGTTACGTTCGATCATGCAGGTGAATATGGGCTCCTCTCCTGTCTCGCTCACGCCCTTAAACTGGTTCGGGATGCAGATGAACCTTTTCATCTCGCGGTAGTATTTTGCTCTGACCTCCTCGAATGCAGGACGGAACTGCAGCCGCCCCTGCCTGCAGAAACGCAAGATATTAAATGATAGTTCATCCACAAATGAGGGTGAGTAAATGTTTCAGAGGGATTTTGAGTGAACTGCTCCTTTAAAACACAACAAGAGGAGTAGGGCTCTTACTTGAAGATGAGGTCGATGTTAATCTCCGGCAGGTTCTTGTTGAGGGCCTCCAGTCCCACCTGATACTGATGCTCCAGAGCTTTATACAGCTGATGGTTCCAGTGCTGACGCCAGGCCCTCATGTCTCCTGCACGAAACCCCTGAACACACACACACACACACACACACACTTAAACAGAGATGTTTAAAGAGTCTGATAGAAACATTGACTGTTCCAAAGCCCAGTGAACTGCCTACGTAGACAGCATTGTTAGACACCACAGGGACAAAACTGTGCCACCTAACAAGGCATATGAGGTTCCACTTTGGTAAGAATGTTGCAATTTTTCTGATAAAAATCATGACTGTGATTTAAAATGTTAAAAAAAAAAAATTCTTTTACATTGATTGCATTATATTAATTATTACTATTATTACTATTAAGACATTAGTAATAATACTATTATAAAGCATTTAAGACAACTAGTATAATAAAAAAAATGTCTCAATTTCTTCATTATCAAACATTAAACCATCACACTTTTATTTTGGAAAAGAGTAGGAAGTCCTTCTCTTTTGTTGTCAAAAACCATTTGGGAAGTTTGGGAAGATGGTTGGCACAAGTTGCGTTCCCAAACGTACGTTATAAGTGACCCAAACTCAGAGCAGATGCAGAGATGAGTTTGTGTGGAGCAGCATTTACTGGAAACGGAGCCGCTCTGCAGACAGCAAGGCAGTATTTGAGCAGATATGAAGAATCATGATCACCTGAGACTCTAGTGTGGCGAATCCAGTCCTGAGATCCTGAAGAGCATCTTTCCACCTCTGCTGCTGACGCAGGAGATCCACTCCCATCAGACTCACCACCTATAAAACACACACACACACACACACACACACACAATGGCTCTTCCATGCTAATATGAATTTGTGTCGACCCTCAGAACGGTCAGCATGAGGTATCAGGTTGAAGGACTGAGGAAGAGGAGAGAGGAAGATCACCTTGTCAGTGAAGTCGGTGTGCCACTTCCTGAGTTTGCGGTTCTCCGTGGAGAGTCTCTCTGCGGCACTCTGCAGTTTACTGATGTACTGCTCCAGCTCTTTAGGATTCTCCCACGTGATCTGGAGTTTTCCACCTTCGTCACGAGATTGAGACCGTGGATTCTGCTGCAAAACAAATATCATACAACAAACAGATGATGCATAGTCCTTATGTGACAAGTTTATTACACTATGACATTCAAAACACTGCCTGTACACACTTTAGTATGCACTAATGTAAGAATCTTTTTGATCTGAAAGAAACTAATACTTTTATTCAGCAAAGACGCATTGATCAAAGGTGAAAGTAGACATTTATAATGTTACAAAAGATTTCTACTTCAAATAAATACTGTTCTTTTGAACTTTCTATTCATCTGTGAATCCTGAAAAATAAAATGTATCATAGTTTCCACAAAAATATGAAGCAGCACAACAGAATATTAGAATGATTTCTGAAGATCACGTGACACTGAAAACTGGAGTAATGATGCTGAAAATTCGTCTTTGCATCATAGAAATAAATTACATTTTACAATATATTCAAATAGAAAACAGTTATTTTGAATTGCAAAAATATTTCACAATATTACAGTTTTTACTGTATTTTGATCAAATAAATGCAGTCATGGTGAGCAGAAGAGACTTCTTTCAAAAACATTCAAAACTTACCAACCCCAAACTTTTGAGCGGTCGTGTATCTCTGTATAATACAGTAAAATACAGTTTCACAGAAATAGGACAAAAGAGTTACCTTGATGACCTGTTCAAAGGCCAGAGCACAGCCGAGCATCATGGGTCGTTGAGAAGGGATCATCTGCTGATCGATGGTGTTGTAGAAATGAGCCACCTGTTAAACACACACAAATACATTTACACACACATTAACAAACACACAACACATGTCTACACACAATATTGCTTTAATACAATGCAATATTTGATGGGGAAGCTACTTAAAACTTTTAACAGAGAAGTAGCTAGCTACAATAGTTATCGACTTTAATAACTATCAGATTGTATAACTGACTTGAAAAAAAATCAGAGCAGCATTTATTTGGTGTGAATTATATTGAGTTTTGACTCAAATGAATCAGTGATTCATTCCACTGATCTGAATGAACTGATTAACAAAATTGAATCTAACTTCCTAATACTACCTGAAAGAGAGAACACTCTTGAATGGAATACTGTTTAGAAATGTCACTATACTCAAAAATGTAGTTCAGTTAGTAGTCATACTGCTACTTTTAGTTAGTAACTCTCTCCATATGTGTGTGTGTGTGTTAACACACCTGTTTGAGGATGATGGCCTGTCTGTAGAACTTGTCGGCGGTGTTTGCCGCCTGCTGGATCTTAGCAGGGATGGTGAAGCCCAGAGCGGAGAGCTGCCGCACCTCTCGGAGTAAACTCACCAGCCGGTCCGAGTACTGGATCTTCAGTTTACCATCCATGTGATCCAGCTCCATGACACGATTACTGGCCTGCAAACTACACACATACAGGACAGATCTGTGATGGTGCTCACGCCACTCACTGTGCGATTTTGCTT